GCCCTTTCAGGTGGGGACTATAACTTACACTTCCTTGCAGCTCCCACAGTTGTTGAGACAGTGGGCAGATGAGCTGGAGAGGATAACCATGGAGTGAGCATTTTCCTGTCCCTAGCTGTGGTTCCAGGCATGAAGGGGAACAGGAGTTGGGGAGTATGCCAAATCGAGTGGACTGAGATCCTCAAGAAGAATAAATGTTCTTTGTCTTGAGGATGAGCAGCACTTTGGCCTGTGTTCTCTCTGAAGGGCAAGTTAAGTGGGTGGAGGTGGATCTGGGTGCAGAATTCAAGTTCTGCCACTTGAAGGACTTGAATCAGTTAGCAGTTCAAGATTCCTTAGTAGAGAGGCCAGAGCATTGCCCTAGCACACCCATGATCCCCTTATGAGATTTCATGAACTTCAGGATGGATATGGACCTTGAAAGGACATTGGGATCACACTTGTCTGGCCCTGTTTAAAAGGCTCAAGACTCAACTGAAACAGATTTTCCCATGTTGTTTTCCTGTATCAGGAATCAAACTCAGAACGTTGAGCTTATGGGCCAGGAACTCATGCTGCTTACCTCCACAGCGCCTCCTGTATCCCTTTTAGTGCTTCCCTGGAATCCCTCCCCTGCACAGAACCGAAAGGTAGACTGCCTGAGAGTGATCTTTGTAAGCTAAGCCAGGAGATCCTGAACTCTGGCCCAGCTGTGCAGCAGTGCATTGACCCTCTGCTCTCTCTCCAGCTTGCAGAGTGAAGTTAACAGAGTTGAATAATTCACTCAGAGTAACTGCTTGATTTTTTTTTTAATTACCATTTCACTCTGCAACAGTTGCTGCCTTAGTTTTAGAGGCACTTGTGGTTCTTACTACACCTTGAAATGGACTAGAATGCGAAATTGTATACTTTTCAACTGAAGTTTTGAAGAAGCAATTGAGGTAAGCCTGGCCATGGTACCTCTAGGAACGCAGATGAGACCGTGCCTCAGCCCTCCCTTGTTTTAACCTTCCTCCCACCCAAAGGTTTTGGTCTGAATATTCTCAGCATTGATTTTATGCGAGAAATCCATTTCTCTCTAGTATATAAATTTCCCTTTGACAGTTTAATGCTGTGAACTATAAATTGACCCATTGTGTTTATTTCTAAAAGTCATCTCTATTGATGGGAAGAATTACTACAAATATAATTCCATTGTAAAAGAGAAGCAGCCCTATCTCCCTGACCATAGCTTGCTGAGGTTAATCATTCTCTCAGCTCCCCAACCCCCTCATTCATCTCTGGCCCTTGGCATTACAGTAATTATACTAGATGGCAGAGGAATTGTTGCCAGATAATATCTTAGAAATAGGGAAATTATGAGCTAATTTCAGCCATCTCGAATTAATGAGAATGTTCTTTCTGAAGTGCTACCAATGTAAACCTTTAAAAAATGACAAGTGAAAGATATTTAAATCTTCTATCTGTGGAGCTCAGTGTGAGCTCTGCCAGCATACCCAGTTGCTATTATCTGGCCAATTGCTGGGGTGGATTTTTTTGTATCTTCCTTCTAGGTTTATTAATTAAATTTTCTGTGAGCTTGGCTGTTATCAGCAACTTCTCTTTAAGAGGGGAGGGAATATGATCCTATGTGACATAACTCAGTCTGCAGCATTGCTGTCTGGGCTAGCAGGGTTATAGTCTGGGGTGATGTGATGACTGGCCCACACGGTACCTTTCTTCTGCCTGGCCTGGGTTATACATGGATGCCCTCCTTTACCATAGCATGATTTTGCATCTTTGATCTTGTTTATTAACCTAGAATTATTCCTCCCACATGGACATGGCCAGAGGCTGTGCTTTTATGTGGTTGTCTCCAAGCACTTGACTCCTTTGATCTCAAGATGTTCCCTTTTCCATGTATTACACCTTGGTGGGGAAGTGGATGTAGAGAAACCTGATGTTTTTGCAGGCACTGACACAGCCCTGTCAGGTGTCTGATATGTCCAGTTTTGGTGGCCCCTTGTACAATGTGCTATTATGCAACCCTTACTGGGGCAGGGCTAACATTTCTGGAAGTGGTACTTAGGAGGGGCAGTGTTCAGAAGAACTTGCATGACACTATAAAACAGAAAGCAGGACAAGTGGTCCTAGAAGCTGCAAAGGCAGAAAAGAAGTTGGCTTACATAACAATTTAAAATAAAGTCACCAAATGCATGGAAAAGTCAATTGATAAAAAAAATTTATGCAGCCCATAAAATGTGCTGACTAGGAGCCGTGCTGTTCCACCCCTGGAGCAGTGTGGGACAACTGACAGAGCCAGCAGAGAGGGAGTCTCACAGAGCCGAAACATCCAGTGCGTGAACTTGAACTTCTCAGCCTCATTATCAAAACAAGAAATACAAATGAAAACAAATTTTCTTGGCCCTTAGGTAGATTAAAGTCTAAGTTTGTGTAACATGAGTACTGGTATCGGTGAGAAAAAACAAACCCTTGTTACCGTGAGCAGTGGAAATTTGTCTCCTTCCTGCCCTTAAAGATGGGACTTGGCATGACCCGTTAAAATTCAGATTGTGTGATCCTTTGAGGCAGCAATTCCAGATCTAGGGAATTTATCCCATGGGGATAAAGAGATGCAGCTACTATGAAAACAGAGAATTCAGCTGTTCATAATGTGGTGAAGGAGCTGTAGGATGAGACTGACGTATGATAGGTCCCGTTCTTAGTGGCTGTGGGCATTAAATGAAACCTCATAAAACTCTTAGACCACAGCTGTTTGGATGCTTCTGAACAGGGCCACTGCTGGTTCTCAGCCCATGTGTGAACAAGGAAACATGCCTCTATTTTTGTTTGTTTGTATGTTTGTATTTTAGGGAAGGGTCTACAGGATGTTCAGGGTCTCACTACTGGTTCAGACTCATAGTGCTCCGCCTGTTTACAGCCTCCCAAGAGCTGGGATTAGAGGTGTGCCCCATCACACCCAGTCTCAATTGGGGCTCAGCATGCCCTGGGGGCAGGGCTGGCAGGACAGGCCGGGGGATTGAACCTCCAGTCCCTGCATCTGCTTGTAGGCACTTTAATCCACTGAGCTATTTGGCCGGCCCTAACTTGCCTCTTCCTTAACTGTAGGATGAGACAATTGCTAACTGCTGCCCCATTCTTTGCATCACACAGCCTGATGCCATGGTGAGTCCCACTCATTTGTAGCTAAAGCTGCGAATTCTTGTGTGGCCAGCTTGATGAGTGATACCACATCCATGCGCTGTATGAGTCTGATCTGCACATCCTGCTGGCTATTTGAAGTTCTCTCCTCCCCACTGTCCTTTCTGTCTCAAGAACCTTTCTATTTCTTGTTCAAGTCAGACCTTGCCTGGATCTTGTCTGCCTTCCTCCTCCACATCCTATTTCCTTTTTTTTTTTCCCTTTCTTTTTTTTTTTTTTGGCGGAATCCACATCCTATTTCCTGCTGCTGATTCTACACACAGTCCCCTAAATCAGTGTTTCTCCTGCTGGTCTCTAGGGCACACATCAGACTGTCATTTCTTAATCTGAAATCGTCCAAATCTTCCCATTGGCTGGGATAAAATTTAGGCAGCATCATGTAGGTCGTTCAGCCTATGGGCAGGACCCCTGCCCCTCTCTGCTGCACCAGGCCTCTTTCTCACCTCCCATCCTCTCTGTGGGCTCCACCCCTCCACATAGCAAGGCAGGCACTGAGTTGAGCAGTGAATGAAGATGTAAATAAGATAAAGTATGTAGAGCTCAAATAAGTAACATAAAAACTCAGGTAATACCAGATTTACCCAGGTTCACAGATAATTAACAAAGTACAGATTACTAGTACATAGAGAAATATTGAACTCTATTAAAGATCAAATAAATTAAAATCAAAATACGTTCTTACATACCAACTAACCAAGGACTTTTAAAATTTAATGTGTACACTATTTACCAGAGCTTTGGTACATTAGTATTCCCAGTGTGGTGAGGGTAGATTGACCTGGATTGTTCAGAAGGGAAATTTTCAAAGCAATAAAAGCATTCTCTTCCTGAAAAATGGTCTTTTCCTGCAACTATATCTCTGCATGCCTTCTACTCTGTATGACACTTGTCAAAAATACATTGAAATATACTAAAATTGGTGTCTCTTATCAAGTGTACACTCTAAAAATGATTAAAAGACTGCTTAGTGTTAGCAGAATAAGACTCATACACTGGGTGGTAAGGGTGAGGGAGTAAAATAACTTCATCTTTCTGGAAGAAACAGTGCTCCTAACTGTGGTAATTCTCCTAGGACAGTGCCCCTAGCAAAGAATTATGAATTTGAAGATGTCTATATATGCTATTTTCAGTTTCAATAGCAGTTAACATTGGAAAAACAAAGTATGCTTTGATAAAGGATTGACTAAATCATGATAAATCTGTATGGTACCAGTGCCAGCTCATGAGACTCCTTTCTATGAATTTGTATGAGGTGTCCCAGGCTAACTTGAACACCACCTGTCCCCTTTACCTGGGACCTCTGCTCATCCCAAATTTCTGACCACAACCCTGACCTGCATTTTGGTTGGCAAGACAGACATTAATGTCTAAATGCCTTTGAAGAATAGTGTGGACAGTTGTTTGTGATGGAAAGTTAAATGAAAACATAAAAAGATAGCAGGACCTCAAATTGTACAGATACTTGTAATTCTTTTCAAAATTTTTCAATCTCCTGGAGAAGATTACTGAGATGTAATTGGTGGTTGACCTGAGAGAATCATGGCTGACCTTCTCTTCTGTCCCTAGATTTTCTCACTTGTAATTTTTCTAGTTTTGAAAGTAGCTATCCTTTATTGTACTAATTTACTGAAGGTCTGCAGGTCTGTGGTGCTGACCTGCAGTGGTGGTCTCCAGGACCAGAGCCAAGGAACTGAGCACTTGTGTTATGGGCCGAACTGACCTGGAGGAGAGGGTGACAGTAGCTTTGTGAAAGTCTCCATGATTCTTTCAATAAAAGGGGAAGTCTCTTACCTTTGTCTTTGCTTCTTTCTGTTCTGCAGGTTTGAGACCTTTGAAGTAAACAGCTTTGAGCAGTTCTGTATCAACTTCGCTAATGAAAAGCTCCAGCAACAGTTCAACTCGGTATGTTAGGTTTCCGACCCTGGGGTGGGGGAAGCCTCACACTCTTTCTGGAGTGATTCCCTGCTGGGGCCACCTCCCTTCCACCTGAGGTCAGTGGGCTACAGTTTTGTCCTGACCTGTCCTGGGTTTCCTCGTGGTGCTCCCAACAAAGGACTGGCTCTTGTTAGTGAGGTCATACGACTCTGGCAACTGCGCTGAGGATGGAAATGATCCCCTGGCTTTGATTTCCAACTCATTTGAGCCTGGGCATTCAAGATTGTTAAGCAATTGCAGGCCAGGTGTGAGACTTCTTGTGACTGGTTGGACAATAGTAACACAAAATTATTAAAATACCCAAGAAGAGGTTTGCATAGGAATGCAGAAATCACTCCCATGCTCTTCTCTTTGTCAGTCATGACTGTAAATTAGTCTTTTCTAACAGCTATCTATCATCTTCCAGTCACAGAATAGAATCTAGGGGCTGGGGAGATAGCTCAGCAGTCTAAATACCTGCCTGACAAGCACAAGGACCTGGGTTCAACCCCCAGTACCACATGCCATGTGGGGCCTGCAATGACAGAGTTCAAACTGTGTAGCAACACCCTGTACTAAATAAATAAAAAGATTTAAAAAAAGAATAGAATCTAGAGGTAATGGAAGTCAAGGTGTATCTATATTTCACTTGCCTTGGCCTTTTTCTTGTTTTCCTAGCATGTGTTCAAACTGGAGCAAGAAGAATATATGAAGGAGCAGATCCCTTGGACCTTGATTGACTTCTATGATAACCAACCCTGCATCGATCTCATAGAAGCTAAGCTGGGTATCCTGGACCTGTTGGATGAAGAGTGTAAGGTAAAACTGGTCATGCTGTCATTGAATTGGTCCAGTTTTAGGATTGAGTAGTGGGACACTGTGCAGCTGTGGGATGCAAGGCAACATGTGAAATCTCAAAGCTGGTTTTGATCTCTGATCATCTGACTTTGCTGTTCTGGGGGAAGCTTTGTTATCCATTCTGCATGCATTGAATGTGATGAGCAAGTGTTGTTATCATGGTAAACATGTATATAACAGTTGGCAGCTGTTAGGGATTGGCATGGATTTGGTGCCTCAGATGTCCTCGGTACTGACAGAATCAGTATCTACACAAGTATCCAGTGAGGACTTGAAACCCAGGATCATCTCTGCAATGTGAAATGATTTGTGAGTGTTCGAGTTGCAAGGCATGGTAGCCACTGAGGTCCACAGATTTCCCTCTGCCTGGCTTTAATGGACTCTACCCAGCATGACAGGGAGAGAACCTAGCAGCCCTAGAGTATAGGGTGAGAGGAATTGGTTTGTATCAGTTGATCAACTTTTTTTATTTTTTTAAACCTGAGAGATTATTTCTGTTCTGATTTCCTCTATGGCCTCAAGCACTTCTTTATTTGCTTCGGCTGCTGTCATTTCAGAAATACCTCGTTGCTTCCTGGACTTGTTCTGGGTGCTGGAGATCTGAGGTTGCATTTTGCTGCTGTATCTTATCATTTTCTCTTTCAAAAGTTTTTATTTTGTTTTCTGTGCTGACCCTTGTAAGTTTCTGTAGTAGGTAGCTTTATCACTGGTATTGTGGCCTATCGAGGGAAGGTTTGTTCTTCAGGAATGTCTTCTGCCCGTAGGAGATATTGCTTTGTGTCTGTCCCAAGATTCTACCTTTCCAATTAAGAGTGAGATTTTGGTATCTGTTAGGCTCAGTTCTCAATCCTTCGGTGCTGGGCTTCAGTGAGTTTATCACCCCAGAACTTCCCAGTAGTGTCGTTTAACTTGTTTGGCTTCCAGTTTCCTGCCGCATGAGTTGATGGAAGTTGGCTTTGATCCTCACTGTCACTCAGTTGTGTGTTTGACTGATTAGAGGAGTAGGTGGTTCATTCCTTCAGTGATGGGAACCAATGAAAAGGTCTAGAAGCCACATGGTTCTTGGTATTGAAAGAGATCACCCCCGTTGCTTTCACATTATTTTCTCCTATACCTTGCCTTTAAAGGAAGGGGTGTGGCTCAATGGTTAGGGAGTTTCTTTCTTTTTTTTTTTTTTTTCATTGAATGAAATAAAAGGGAAGGACTAATAAAACAATAGTCAACAAAGTGAAATTATACTGAATCTCATAGTTGGCACATTTTTACCTCCTAACATGTTTCAGTGTCTTTTTGGAGAGGTGAGCTTCATCTTCAAAGTCAGTGTCCAAGCAGAAATAATTTCAGTGTGTCGGGTGTTTATCATGTCCTATGTTTGTTTTGCCTTTGCCTTGTCACCTGTTTGTCTAGGCTTGCTCAACCTGTGAGGTTGAAGTCAAGTTAAAATAATTGTCCCCAGATTGAGTGGCACTGGGTAAACTGCTGACATCATAGCACCCTCCCTCCTGCTGTCAGCTCCGCGCTCTCCTGATCCACAGCCAGCAGCCTTCTTCCTGAGCTCAGTGGAGACTGTACCCACCTCAATCTCTTTAGTTCTGTCAGTGACTAACTCCTCTGGCTCCACACCTCCCACCCAACACACGGTCCTGTGTTCAGCCTAGGCCTCTGGGGTGCTGGTTCAGTCTAGCTCTCCAGCCCTTGCTCAAGGTGAATGTCAACTTTTTATTCTCCTCTTTGCTGGTGAGGGTCATGCACAACTCTGAGGTGCAGGGGGGTTGGCTGGCTGTCCTGCATAGGTTCTATGATGAAGAGTCACTTAATCGTAAAGTAGGACCCCCACAGGAGATAGACCCTGCATTCCCATTTACTCACAGCCTCTCCCCAAGTACTTCAGGAAGACCAGTTCTATGACTAGCAGCTGCCCAAGGGGTTTGCAGTGTACCTGCCTTTGGCCAGCAAAATAAGGCTGCTAGTAGATATGTTTTGCCTTGTCTTCTGAGGAGTTGCGAGGTGCTAGCACCCAGGGGAACATCTCACAAGAGTATCAGTCCACAGCAGTGGGAACATTCCTAGTGCACAGGTTGGAATTAGATGAGCCTAAGCCTCTGAGAGAAACCCCAGAGCAGTGCTGGACTCAGAACAGATGACTCTAAGAATGGTGTGAGAGCACACAGAAGGCAGCAGTTCTACAGAAAGCAAGCCAGACCCAGGCAGGAAGGCCACAGAGCAAGCCATGCTCAGCAGTTGTGAAAGAGACCTCCCCAAAGCATTACTAGACTTTGCAGCCTGAGATAGTTCCAGTCCAAGAGAGATGCCCAAGACCCTCATGTCTTCTCTCATCCTTTGGAATTCACACCACCTGGAGTAACAATGTGGGTAACTATCTTACTTGAAACAAGCTACAGGAAAATGAAACTATATTTTAACTCCTGCCACAGTAATCCATCAAATGCCAAAACTATGTTATGCACATACTGGTTCTTTCATCTTGAGGGAGAGCCCTTGGAGAGGAGAAACTGACCTCCCTCCTGACTTTCCAGGGAACAAGAGCAAGGTTTTACTTGAACCAGTGAACTGAGATTCACCGGCCTAGAGACATCCAGTTCCACAGAGACTGGGTAGGGTGTGGGCTACAGAGTGACTTATAGGAACATCAACTCAAAACGATGCTGAGTTACATGTAGCCACTGTGATTCCCTGCCCTGAGCTCCTTGGTTTTGTCCAAAATCCAAGTTTTCTGCTCACAGAGCTGGTGGGAACTGGGGATGTCAATATGCCAGGTCGTGTTATGAATGGGACACATTTAAACACCCTGGTGACCAAGACCACAAATGTGGCTCTGGAGGTAAGACGAATGCTGAGTTAAGGAACAAGACAAAAGCGCACAGTATGGAAACTTTTAACATCAGACTTCATTGCTCTGGGAAGCCAGAGTAATTGAGTATAATTTGCCGCCTCTATCAGGACAGCTTTAAATCCATAGATGTCATTACATTTGTCAAAAGTCATCCAACTGATCCCATGAAAGGGGTACATTTTACTGTAGGAAAATTGCGCTGTAACAATCTGACTTTTAAGAACAGGGGCAGTGGTTGCCTGCCTGGCTCTTCTGCAAGCACCCACAGCCCCAGGGGGAGCAGGTTGAAGCATTCCTGCGTTGTGCTGCAGCTGGGGAATGCAGAGTGCCTGGGGATGAAGCCTTTTGAACAGTGACAGCTGCCTCCAACACACCCCATCCCCTTGTCTCTCAGATCCTCTGTAGGATGAGAAAGAATAATGAGGTCTCACTGTGAATAACTGAATTCTGTTCCCCCACCCCCACCCCTCAGCTGACAGGACACAAACCCCAGAGAGGCTTGGACTGGTGGGGTAAAGCAACCAGTGAGACAGTCAATTCCTGGAGATGTGCTTTGGAGAGCAGGGCAGTGAGCTAGGGTTGCAGTCAGAAGTGTGGGCACACGTGGCTGCAGACTTGAGAGGCAGCACTCAGGAATTCTCCCAGGGCCTCTGATGGGTCTCAGAACTGCAGGGGAGGAGCTGGGGAGATGGCTCAGTGGAATAAGTGCTTCCCTGGCAAGCACAAGGGCCTGAGTTCAATCCCTGGTTCTGCAAAAAAAAAAAAAAAAAAAAAAAAAAAAAATGAAGTTAGAACTGCAGGGGAGGTGTGCGGACCGCATCAAACTGCTTAAGTTCCTTTCAGTGGAAAAGCCCCAGCTATACAGTCAGACCCTCAGCCAGCCACAAACTACACAGGGCTTCAGCTATCCTAGGGCGTAGGAAAGGGGTGTTTGCAGGAAATTCCAACTTCTGGACTGCTCTTACCTAAACTCTCCAGTCCACGATGTGCTCTGAGGCTGCTGCTGCTGGGGGGGGATGGACGCTCCGGTCCTTGCCCTCCTCCAAGCTATATTGGCAGACATTCTGGTGCCTCATCCTGCCATTCAGTACCTCTCACATCATTCCCTCCCTCTGAGAGGGATGAGTAGACTTAGTCTAGGCTTGTAGAATAAAAGAGGTTAGCATATGCTTCCTTGGGGGTGCATGTTTGCATTTTAGCAGAAATCTTCTGGAAGTGATGGCTTGATCCCTGAATGCAGATACAATGGGTAAAAATACAGGTTACTGCCACAGGCTGGAGAGACACTGTTGGGGCTCCTCAAAGACAGGCTTGTCAGGAACTGCAGGCTCAGCCCAATGTGAATTGTTTTGTTTCATAGAACCAGCTAAAGAGCTGAGCAGTTGGATGTTCCTAATCCTTGTTGTAGCTTCTCAGTGACATCGGGCTGAAGACAGTGGGGCTGCTGTTTTCCTGTCTTGTCCCTTGGGGGGGGGGATCCTATTCCCAGGAGAATTGTTCCTTTAGGTCAAGGGTGGTGGTATCTTCCAGGGATGCTGGTGGTCTCCTTAAGCTGACTGGAGAGTCTGGAGTGAGCAGGAGGGAGGTGGCCTGGGCTTCCAGAAGCTCAGCAGTGGGAAAGGCCACGTTGAGTCTTTTGGGCAGGCAGCCCCAAGGGAATGGTCTAGTCAAAGGTGGAATTTCAGTAATTGGAGGTAAGACCATGGAGATGCTAACTCTAACTTTCTTCCTGGAGCTTGGCTGTGAGAAGCAGGAGGCTGGGCTGGGTGGATGGGATGCTGGCTTGGAGGGCAGCACTCTTCCCCAAGGGAATAGCAGAAAAAAAGAGTGGTATGGATGCAGATAAGCGCTGGGTGCTACAGCAGGAGCTTGTGATTTCCTGCTTGAAAACCTCCATTTTCCCAGGAAGGAGGAAATGGGGCATGTGGCAAGTGGAGGCAGGTAAGAAGCTTACCAAAGCTGGCAGAAGATAGGAGCTGCCTGTGGATGGGAGAGCAAGTGACTGAATGCACAACTTCACAGATGAGATCAAGGAATCTTTGAGGTCAACTTCCATTTAGAGCTGGGAGCCTTGTCTTAATCTACAGAAGAGTGAAGCTTGGTCTTATTTGTTCGTTTGCTTGTGCTGCATTTTTAGGGAAGGGTCTACAGGGTGTTCAGGGTCTCACTACTAGATCGGACTTGTAGTGATCCACATGTTTACCGCCTCCCAGGAGCTGGGATTACAGGCACACACCACCACGCCCAGTCTCAATTGTTGTCTCAGGGCATCCCAGGAGCTGGGCCAGCACAGCAGGCCCAGGGATCAAAACCCAGGCCCATGTGTCTGCTTGTAGGCACTTTAATCAGCTGAGCTGTTTGGCTGGCCCTTGTTCTTCTTTTTGTTTTTATTTTTTGCAGCAACACTGTTACATTAGAGCAGCAAGGAAAGGAAAAATGAGTCGCTGTGTGAGTTCCTCCAGCACCAGGTGAAAGGAAAGACAAGTGTGCTCAGACCGGTTGGGAGTTGGTGTTCTGCTGAGCATGCAGGGAAGCGGGTGTGAGGGTGGAAAGGTGAAGGCCTAAAGCAGCATTGGGTGCTGTTGGGCACAGAGGAAGTAGCTGCCTCCTCCTGAGAACTGTTCGGGTTGTATAGTCCTGGGTACAGAGAGTACCCCCCAGACTCTGAGGATCCAGAGGTGCCTTGGTGCAGTGGTAATGTGAGGTTGGCAGAGGCAGAGGCAGCTGAGAGCCACAGACATAGGGGATGGAACCAGACAATGTCTGGAGAGACAGTCACTGGTGGCAGTAACCCAGGAGAACAGGAACATGAAGCAGAGCTGAGTAACTGGCTGTAAAGTCCTTAGCGGCCATCTCTCGTCTGCAGTTTTGTTGGGGGCAGGCTTTGCCCCCCGCCCTGGGGACAGTCCAAACTGATTACAGCTGCTATGATAGAATAATTCCTCCTCAAGCTCCCAAGGTTTGTATAGTAGCAAAAAATACACACTCTAGATCCAGCCTGCTTTTCAGCTCTGCGATCTTAAGCAAGTTACTTAACCCCTCTCTCCATTTTCTCTTCTCTGTATATGAACTTACTGCCTCACTCACAGTGACTGATAGGAGGATTAGATGAGCTGATACCTCCGCAATGTATAGGAAACTGTATGACGAATATGAAGCACCATGGACATTTGCTGCTAGTATTATCTGACACTCTTAATACAAATTTCTGCTGTTCTTTACTTATACTTGGAGGTGGGACGGGGAGGTAAAAGGGATTATGTGTTCTTCTTGAGAAGTATGTATACAATGTGATCTTCACCATTGGTCTCCTCTGCTAATTCATTCATGCCAGTCTGGATTACTGAGTATGTAGGATCATACATGGGGTCTTCTCTTTGAAGTCCAATCTTAAAAGATTTTGTTACCCACAGACTTAAGTATTTATTTAGGTGAGCCATTTACCTAGGTGAGCCTTCTCATGGTTCTGCTACCCCAACTGGGTCAGGCCCTCAAGGTCTGTCTTGTTCCTGTCCTCTGCCCAGCTGGTCCTGACAGCCCCACCAGGAGGTCCCTCCTTCCCCCATACAGGTTGGTTCTAAATACAGAATGCTTATAGGCAAATATAAAATGGTGTATATATAGAAAATGCTGAATTAAATATATTTTATTGTTTGCCCAACACAATTAATAGCCTCCCTCAAGAAAGCATTTTCTTCCCTTGAGTTTCTTATAGCATGTAGTGGTGGGTACTCAATATTAGTGGTGTATTCAATACGGTACACATTGAATCTTAGGAAAAATTTGTTTGTTCACAAAGGATTTAAGTTTGTTCTCAAGTATGTAAGCACTTTCTTTATAACACAAGTTTTATTCATTTACTAAGCAAAACCCACTTTAAGTAGTTACTAAAAGGTCACCTTCATCCTTGCTTGATAGAGACATATAATCTAAATTATTGATGGGTAAGTTAATTAGTGACTCATAACTGAGAACTGGACCTGTTCTGCTGAGTGGATGTTGAGGATGACACAGGAGGGAGCCCCATCACTGGACAGGCTCGTCATTCCTGACAGTCTGAACTGTAGTCACTGTGACTCTGCTGTGTTCCCAATGAAGGAAGGTGCTTGTTTACTTTGGAGGCCATCCATAGACACACAGAAGAGGGGCTGCCCTGAGGAACTCTTAATGGAGTGAAAACTTTTAAGTCTGAATTTATATTTTGGGTAGGCAGAGATATTAGTCCCAGAAGAATCAGGTCTTTGAGGGGCAAGAAACAAAGCAGTAAGGCCTGTTCAGTCTTTGAACCCAACAGACCTATAATGTGTAGTAAAAATGTCCTGAACCTGAGACCAGTTGTGAATTCTGTGTGTGTGTGTGCACACATGCATGCACGTGCATGTGTAGACTATTGTAAAAACTAAATAGTGCCGGGGAGACAGCTCAGTAGAATAAGTGCTTGCCTGGCAAGCGCAAGGGTCTGAGTTCAATCCCCGGTTCTGCAAAAACAAAACAAAATAGTGAGGAATTTAAGAAGCAGGGACTTGAGGTCAAGAGTTGTCAGAAACAGCCTCTCAGAAAAAGATAAGGCTGAGTCTGGATGGTGCTGTGAATGAACCTGGGAGCAGGGTGGGTTTCTGTGCAGCAGGCTCCACCAGAGCAAGCAGGGTGGGAGGCGTGCTGTGCTGCGGAGGGTGAGTGCTCACAGTGCTGCAGGAAGAAGCACTTCAGATGGCTCCATGGCTGTGGCTGGTCCTATGGCCCCAGCTTTTCCTCTTATCTTCTACTTGTGCCAGCTAGCAGATCCTTGCAGAGTCAGTACGCTCTGTGGACCACAGCCCTCGCTTGGTGGGTTGATGGCTACTGCGCGTGACCCCGCACATCATGGTTGAGTCATTCTTTGCATTCTAGTGAAGCTGCTGCTTTGAGGTGGTTCCACCTTACAGAGCCATGTACCCCTCCACTGTGACCCTTTGTTTGCTTCCTTTTCCTCTTCACAAAATGCTCTGCCTTATTTTGTGGTTCTGCAGGTCCCCAAAGGAACTGACCAGAACTGGGTACAGAAGCTCTATGACCGGTACTCGAGCAGCCAGCACTTCCAGAAGCCCCGCATGTCCAGCACATCCTTCATTGTGGTCCACTTCGCTGATAAGGTGGCTATCCTCTTGACTGTCTTGGCACTGCTTAGCCTACCACCAGTAAACTCATGCTTCTGCGATAAGAGGGAGCTGTCCCTCAGTTTCCCTAAGGAGCTTCTCTCCTAGTGATGGGTGTAGACGCAGACCTTTTCAAAAATGGATTTTGTAGAGGGGAACAGTACCAGGAATCAAACTTAGGACCTCACACTTGCCAGACAGGCACTGCACCACTGAGCTAAATCCCTGGCTCTGAATATTTTTTTTTTTAATTCTGAGACTGTAGTGAGCATATAAGTTAACTAGAGATCTGTTAAAATGCTCAGACCAGTAGGTCTGGGGTGTGACTGAAAAACTCATCCCTTGAGCCCTAACAAGCCTTTTGTTCTGAGAACTCCCTTGTACACAGGGTTTTCTCTTGCAAAATGAGTGCTCATTTCTTTCTGTCCCAGGGCCTTGCTGCACTCTAAATGGGGACATCTGGGGGTTTCTCATCTACTCAGCTTTTTCAGAAAATTCCACATGGATGATTTAAAACTACAGTGGTGCCTCAGTGTACAAATTTAATTTGTTCTACAATTTGGGGATGATGGTCATGTTTGTGTTTGTGTGGGGAAGATGGCCATGGTTATGTTTGTCATTCAGTGTGGAGTTTGCAAATGAAAGCAAAATTCTACTGAACACTTTGAATTGCAAACCAAATTGTTTGCAAATAGAAGCCTTTATGAAGCAA